GGGGGGGGGGGGGCTAGCTTGCAAGTGCTTCCAAAAGTATAATAAAGATAGGGATAGTGAGGTCTAGGAACCAGTTTTGAAGGAACTCTTCAATAGTGTTTCCAAACTGATTTGAGGTTGAGACTAGGACTGAGGGGCCTTGGGTGGGAGTGAGCATAGACTCAGGTGGTGCTAGAGGGGCCACTCGAGGAAGTGCTTAAGAGCAATTCCCACTCCCATAAGGGAAATTGAGTGTAGTGCTCCTGGCTCAAAATATCTTGTTTTTGTTGTTTATCTTCCTTTCCACAACCCCTTTAATGTTGCATGTTGTATCATGTCTTGTTGCGGCTTATTAATCCTTGCCCTTCCTAGAGACTTAGGCCTTCCTTTCGGAATGAAAGTGGGGGAGTAGGGATACCCATACTGGGCCATTAAGCTACAGTGTTTCCCCCCGGTGTCTCGAACAAAGTATTGCACCCAAGGCTTGGGTTCCATGATCAAGTTTTGTTATACCAAGGGATGTTAAAAATTTGGTGGTTTAATGTATTTGGTTACTTGTGCTTGTGGGGAGTGTAATCAAACCTTAAATCTAATCTAACCCGGGGAGGGGGATTGGAAGAGGTTTGGGAATCTATGGATGAATGGTTAACATTCTATTACTTATGTAGTGAGTAGTTGAAACCAAATAGGACTAAGTAGGAGGTGGTACAATAGGCAGGAACTTTGGCAAGGGAACTTAACTAAGGCTAAGGCAATATTAGTTGGATAGATGAGGTAAGTTGATAAATTAGAAAGAAAAAATTTATGGCTTACACAACAATTAATAGAACAAAATGAATGCAATAAAACTAACAAATACTCATTCATGTTAACTATCACACTAGCCAATTTGAATAGATCCCAGTCAACAATACAAAAGAACTACAGTTGCTTAAACAAATGTTGGCAACATCCTACCAATGTCTCAAACCCAAAAGATTAATCCAAAACAAACTATAAAGAATATATGGTAATGCGGAAAGCCAGAAGGTATTAAAGAGAATTACTAACTATCATGAAAAATCATTAATCATCCCATCATAAGAGATATGTATAATCATCATCAAAGAAATAATCCACCATTTGAAGAACAACAAATTAATCTATACCAACAATAATTAAGCAAAACCTTTAATAAGGATAATCAACTATCCTAGATGATAGTCAATTATCACCAATGATTGCCAAATGTAAATATTAATTTTAATATTGAAGCTAATGAGCCAAAAATGCCTTCCCCAACATCTTCTAACAAATAGAATAATGAGCATAAAACTCATAGAACCAAAACCTCGAAGAAGTCTATAACCATATCTTACTTAATAATGATTATAAGTTTTATATGAACTAATTTCAATATTGAAAAAGAAATCACAGTACAACCCATAATATCCTTTTTAATATATCCAAAAGTTATACTTTATAAGTTTTCTCCTGTGAATTTGTGTAGAAGTTTCTCCCAGCGGAAGAAGATGCCATCTAAAGTTAGCGCTAGAAACAGAAATTTTATTGACGGGAGTGAGACACGTGGAAAAGGCGTCCACAAGAACTGCACACAAGCCTACACTGTGGGGAAAGCTGCTCGTGGCGTTTCCGGTCGCGGATCTTTTTCTCCACTCTAGCAAGGACGGCTAGAGCCCTTGCACGTTCTCGCTCATCCTCGTCATTACCGTTCTGTTTTGGGCGCCAGTTTGTAGGATTTATGGAAACGGCTCGGTAGCTACTTCATTGCATTTTAGTGGTTATATACAAGAGGATGTGGCGACTCTTGACGGTTGGTGATGATATGTGATGTGGCTAGTGATTCCCGACACACTCGACGAGGGAGATCGCCAAGTGGTTAAACCAGAATCCTTGCGTGAGAAGTTCTACTATATTGTGATGAAGAAGACGAAGAAGGAGAAGCAACGCCAGGAGCTCGCTGTGAGTAGTTTTTGTTTCCAATTTTTATTCTTCTTTTGCTTCATCAAGGCTGGGTTTGGATTACAGCGAGAAGAGAGAAGTGAAAACTCTGGAAAACGTAGAACAGATGCCGACCTTTCTTACTCAGAAGAAACACCAAAGGTGCTCTCTCTCTCCTTGCGTGTTCCTGACTTCTTAGGTGGTTGTAGAAAAAGCATGCCAGGAGTAGCCGCATGGAGCAGTCCAAACCCGTATCGGACACTACTGGTGGGGAGCTCATCTTTTCTGTGTTGAATGGTTGATAGCCTTGTGCTTTCAGGAATCCTGGCGTTGACAACGAAGACAATCATCTCTGGACAATAAGAAGTCATGGAAAGGAGATACGAGCTGTATGTGACACTGTTTATGGGCTTGGTATTGACAGCTTTTGTGTAAACTTGCAGGCTTTGTCAGCTACAAGTGAAGCTGCGGGATCTCGGGGGACTAACGTCAAGTCTCAAGCTTACGAAGAGGTGAAAGCAAGTCTCGGAGAGCAAGTGCTTCCTCAGATTCGGTGACGAACGAGACACCCATGCCTCGACAGGTACTTAGGATGACTAATGCCCGATTTCTTTTCTCCTTTTTGACCTGTTTAGTGTAACAGATGAGTATGCAAAGTTGCAAAGGATCCAGCACGCTCAAGCTCGGCGTTCACAGATTGTCCGTTGCAACGCTGTAAGCTGTTTTCTATCAAGGCTGTGGTCCTCGCCAATGTGAAATGCAGGCACCTAACGAGCTCCTTATTTGGGGGTTTTCTTGGAATCTGACGCTTTCTTCTTTAGCGATGGATGTGATCCTTTCTTGTCTTTCTTTCTTTTGTTTTGGTGCATCCATTTCAGGAGTATGCTTCACAGTTGGGTCTCTAGTTGTTTCATGTGCTGAAAGCACTGTGAAGGTCGTATCTTACTACGTTTTGTCTTGTATATATTGACTTTTTTATTTTTTTTTTCAAATTCAGGTATGAAATTCATCAACTGCTGAGTGCCTCTACACTCTGGGGCCTGGTTCTGACGAAAACAACGTGGCTGGTCATAAGAAAGAAAACCTCTGCAATGGCCGCTAATCCGTCTCAAACCTGTAACGTTTGCTGTTCGTGACGCACAGGATCTTGCTTTTCTGGGCTGGTTTTGGTTGTTTGCAGGCCTTGTGGCAACAAGTAGTGGTCAAGGCGATCGACAACTGCTTTTGTAGAGGAATGCTTGTACCAGAATTAATCTCACAGAACAGGTACGTGAGCTAACTATACTTTTATTCGAGTAGAAATTGCTGAAAGTGTAATGGTATTTTTTTTTTCAAGGGAAGATTTGCCTCCCATGGATGCTCTGGAGTTTAACAATAACCTACTGATATGCGGAAGTTACTCGTCACAAAATGGCTCGGGTATTGTTCAGATCTGGGACGTGGATGCTCTCCTTGAGTGCTGCAGATTTCCAGCAAATGACATGGTAGTCAACATTGTTTTCCACTCTTGAGAGTTTCTGATTCGTGTTTTTTTTTTTTTTTTGGACAGTCTATAACTGATGCAGCAGGAACAGTTGTTGTGACAGGTAGTTAACTCAGATATATGTCTAGCCTTTGCTGATGCATTCCTTTCAACATGCCCAGGCGATGGAACAGTCGGCTTATTTGATATCCGGAGCTATGGTGCCTCTTGGCCCCCGTTGAGAGGTATTTCTTCCTCCATTGCAGCCAAAACCAAGGTCATGTGGCTTGTTTCCCAGGTTGCTTCCGTTTCTTACAGTTCCTGTGGAAGATATCTCCCCAGTCGTTCGGGACACACGGTTAATGCCAATGGAGACCCGTGACCGTGGGTAAGAGGTTTTGTTCTCACTTGGTGTGTAGCGAGTGAACCTCCAACTCTTCTCTTTTCGTGTGTGTAGCTTTGTGGGTGCTGGAGACCAAGGAGGAAATTATGCTCTCTGGTTTAGCAGCGAGTGGAGAAATGGCAGCGTGGCTCTTTGGGATGTTACACTTGGAGAACCATGCCCCGTGAGTCTTCTTTCTGTCTTCTTTTGGTTACATATCGCCTTCCGCTTCGCAGGTTTCAATATCTTCTGATGGATGCTGGTACTTTCTATTCAAGTTTTGTTTCTTTGTTTGAATTCTAGAGCCATTTACGTAAGAAGCATAACACCTTATGTGCAGGAAGACGAAGATGGTAAACATAAATAAATCTACAAAGGAAAGACCCTACAGAAGCCAGGGCTATGGAAGGACTGATTCCAGTGGTGGGGTGGATGCCATGCGTTGGCGATCGCGTGGCCGAATGGTTCCGCAGCGGCATAGGCTCCAGACTGCTGATGGTTGTGAGGGCAACGTTCTCTCACTTTGGGCTGGAGCTGGATCATCTCCCGGGTGCGTGGTTCTTTGAAGTCCTGCCCAACTCCACCGTCACTTCCACTGTCTCGGAGCTCAAGTGGAAGATCTGGACTGTGGCCGTCGCACGCGTCCTTGGCGCTACCGTGCCGGATGGCTTCTTGCACCTCTTCATCGCGGCCGACTACTTCACGCGCCATAGCCCACATCAAGAGCAATCTAGAAATCCTCATCCCCGCCCCGAGTGCTGCAAAGGCCGCTGCACGTACGCCCTGACCGACCTCCACCTTGTGAGTGCTTGTTTGGATCGTGTAGCAAAGTTTATGGTTTTCCCTTTTTTGCAGCTCGAGGAGGCCACTGATCGGACGCCATCGTCTTTCCCATTGGTCATCACAGATGAACATGTGTCAGGTCGCTAGCTATACGTACTTCTTCTTTGGATTCCTCTCAAGCTAAGAGCTTGGTTCCTTTTCCACAGCCATCGTGTCGATATTGTTTCCTTGCACTCTCTCGCCCACTTGCGTTGCTGATGCCGCTCTCCTGTTCGATGCGAGCGGCAAGGTTTGCGACGTTGTCTTCACCTGGCTGTTGCTCCAGCTCCAGAGCAACAAACAGCCGCTGGAATGGCTGGACGCATTCGAAGCACAAGCTATAGCAGGTGACCGTGGCGGTGGCGGAGCTGGACCCCTGGAAAATCTCTTGCTGCTGTTCCTGAGCAAACAAGCACCGCTGAAGGATGAAAAGTTCTCCCCGGCATCCTTGGACGAGCTCAAACGGATACGTTCCTGCATCGAGAACGCGCCCAGGATAGAGTGGAAGTCCATGGACATCACCGTCGCTCTGCGCCAGATGTTGGAGGTATGATGATTGACACCGTTTTGATTTGAGAGAGCGTTCAAGCTTCTGTGTGGCAGGAGGTGATGGCAGCGGGAGAAATCCAATGGGACAACCAGATGCGTGCCCGGCTCGAGCAGTGGATCCAAGGCCACTACAACTTCCACCGCGTGGAGCCGCTCTTCCAGGAGTACGCAGACGTGAGCGTGCCGATAGCGCGCCTGATCTCTACATGGATGCGGACGAGGAAGGGATGCCGCGACCACGCCGAGCTCAAATCCCTGTGCTCGGCAGCGACATCATCGGAGTCGATTGTGGAGCACATCCAGGCTACGATGAGCCGGGGAAGCAGCGACGAGTGCCGCCAGCTTTGCGACGCGGCTGCCACCGTCTTTGGCAATGACTACGGTAGCCTTTTCGTGGAGATTTGCGCCAACGTGCAGTGGGATCCATGCCTGACCGCGTGCTCTCTAGAAGAATTCGGGGCGATCAAGCAGGCAGCCTGGGACGGACTCTTCCGGACTGCGAGCTCCGAAAACACGCTTCGAAGGCACCGTTTCGACGATGGCAGCCGCAACGAGGCCACATGGAGACCTGGGATTTCCGACATGATCCTCTACATAGCTTACGTAAGCTCTTGATGATCTTGTCAATGATTCCATCCATCGCTTACGAGTTTGCTGCTGCAGCTGATCCTCGAGGACTGCTTGGGCGGCAGCGTTGACCGTGACAGGTGGAAACGAGACTGTGAGTCTATGCAGAGTGCCTTTCTCTTTGCTCAATCGTGATCCTTTTTGCTTGGATCGTCACAGGCGAGTCACTGCTGCATACCAGGTGGGTTGCGATTAGCAACTCCACCAGAGGAATCTGTGAGGCGTTTGCGGCGTGGATCCAGTCTCCAAGCACGCAGAGGGACTTGGGAGCGAGCTCGGATGAGATACGTCATGCCATAAGAGAGGCAGTCGTCTCGGCTGGTGGAGTGGAGTATGACGAGGAGAGGCAGCAACTCTGGGCCAGGATGCAAGAGCTGCTGGGTGTCACTGGCAACATTTGGATTTGCATGCTTGCTCGTGCCTATGTGCAGCATGAACACCACTTCGGTGCTTTCAAAAATGCCGCAAATTATTCCGGTGAAGATCTGCCCACAATTGTCCGCAGGCGTTCATGCGCAGAAAGTACACCGAGGATCGAAGTTTTCCACGGCCTCGGCAGCGCTTCCAGGATTTGAGCTTTTGCTTTTGCTAGAGAAGTTCCTTGCAATTGAGATTTCTTTCAAAGCCAGGCTAACGCATCGGAAGAGATTTGAGCTGGCAAAGTGGAACTTCGCTCATATGGACCGGTTTGTAGCTAAGGACGAACATGTAACTTTCTAGCTGCTGAGAGTGATTGGATTCATGTCGTGAAGGGCATTGCGCAGGAAACTCTGCGTGAAAGCCAACAAGCGCAAACGGTCAATGGCAAATTTCTTCCTTTATTTCTTTCCAGAACTTTAAGCCTAGAATATAGCTTTGCCTCTCTTGAGTCCTCGGTGGAGGACGAACAAACTTCACACCAGGACTTTCACTGGCTGCTGGCTTCAGTCCGCCAACGCTTGTGGCCTTTCCATGTCTGTCTGAAGTTTCGTATTTCCCATTTGGAATTGGGTAGCAGGGCCGAGGATGTTTACCTGGGCGAGGAAGAACTTACGGTTGGATTTATCGAATCCAGACCAACTGGACAGAGCAACGGTTTCGTCGGTTCAAGTCTTAGAAGCTCTTCTCTCTTCCGGGCTTATCAAGAAAGTATTTTTCTTACACTTCGAGACATACCATTTTGCTGAAATTTTGCAGCTATCCCCTATCGGGATTTAAATCTTCTTTGCACTTCAATGTTAGACCAGTGCATTCAGATGAGCATTCACCAGTAATGCATCCTATAGAGGACTTCTCCCCGTGTTTGATCCTCATCGATGCCCCTAAGATCGGACCCCTTGCTCTTGATGCTGTGTTGAATTTAAAGGACGTGTGAATTTAATTTTTCTTACGGTACCTTTGTTTTCGAGCTTAACTCGGTTCCTGGCTCAAGAAATCATATGTTCGGAGAAGATCTATATTGATGGCCTCCCAGCAATCGAAGCAAAGAATAAAAGAGGAAAGGCCAAAAACAGAGATCAAGTCCGTGATTAATGATTTTTTTCTCTATCATCGTGTCCTAGAATGTTATAAATTTATGCAGTCCATCTAGCAGTGCCAAGGTTTGATAGTGTTCAAGCATCTGATCAAGCTGGCACAAACCTGCAAGAGAGTCAATAAAAAACACGATGAGTTTATTAAATTAGTTAGCTAGAGCTGTTGTTGTCTTCTATCTCGTGGGGTCTATTTAGGAAATGCCAATTATAAATAGTTTATATGCTATAGTAATATAATTAACATAAATAATATATATAAATGTATTTACAAACTTTACACCACTTTTTGGAAGATGAAAAGGAAGTGGAACATTTTGAACTTTTGTTGAGCAATTATAAAATGCCACAAACATTTTGAAACTCCCCTATTTCATGGCTATAAAAGATGGATTCATAAAGGATTAGTTTGGTGGTTACTTTTTCAACATAACTTTATTGTGCTTAATTTTTAGATTAATGCAAATATCCCTTCATTAGCTTTGGCATTCGCAACCTGGAGAACAAAGGTCCAGCTCATCTTGATGGCAAAGGATTGCTGGACAATCGTGGACGGCACCGAAGCTAAACCAGCTGAGCCCGCTCTCCAGCCAGCGTGGAAAGCCTAGAAGAGCCCTCTCTGTCATTGGCTTAGGACTCGGCGACGAGTTCATCCATCTGCTGGATCTCTCGAAGACCGCTCACGAGAATTGGGAGTCCTTGGTACAGGTGTTTGCTGCGAAAGCAGCAAATGCCAAGATCGTCCTTACCCAGAGGTTCTTTTCTCTCCGGATGCAGCCAACAGACACGATGGCGTCGTACATTGGCAAGCTTAAGGGGATGACGCAAGAGCTTAAGGAGGCTGGCCCCTGTCTCGGACGATTATGCCAAAGCTTTCCT